CGATGATCTTTTAGGCCTATTTGAGAATATTGAGACTCAATTCGCTCACACGTGTTCTTTTAGTACTGAATACATTTCTACTATAATTCTGTAAATCTGATTTCTGGAATGTTATTAAGTAATTCCTTTAAGATTAATTCCAATTTTTAATTTAATTATTTTAAATTCTAAAGCATATTTCTAACTTACGTAAATCTCAGAATTTTTCACTCGCAGAAAAATCAGAAGTAACTCAAACGATAATAATTTTTTAAAAAAAAATCTTAGAGTTTTTCAAATTTTAAATTACGTTCAAAGAGCCTTTTTTTGATATTTTTGTGTGTTACCTATGTGGGATGGCATCGTTCATTATAATCGGATGACGCGACAAGCTGCGAGAATAAATCTTTTATTTTTCCGATGATAGAAGTCAGACGATTCCGCATTTAAGACGATGACGCGATTAAAAGATGTCTGAATATAAAAAAAGATTCCTTCTCTTCATTTGTAAATAATCTCACCTATTTCCTTCTACATATGTAATTACTTTGTAGTTTGTAGCAACTATTCATGTTTCATTAAATATTCAAGTTTTACATAAATCGGACTACTTTATTAGCCCCTAGACAGCCACCTAAGAAGTAAGTTTACAAACATCATATTCCTAGACAGTAAGTACCGATTCTACACCTATATTTATTAAATATCATGTTCTTCGCACTTAAACCTTAAAATTCAGTTCAAGAGCAATAGCCCAAAATAAATTTAAATTGAGCATATCTTTAGAATTTCCGATATACAGTCTCACGTGCTGGAGATAAAAAATGTTTTTCTGTACAACTTTGCCATTACTCGCTTTGAAATCTTTGAGTTTGTTAATCAAAAATTCATTAAAGTTTTACAAAACATGAAATCTATAATAAAACAAATTCCAAATTTCAAATTTGGGCTTTCAGATGCCCATACTCGCAATAGGATTACATCATTAAAAACTGGATAGCTCTATGAAAATTAGATAGCAGAATGCGAGAAAAATACATACATTTATGCAGATTCTTCATTATTTAAGTTCTTCAAATATAATACAGGACGATAATATTTGGTGGCAACAGTTCGAAAAATAAAACGGACATTCAGAGTGATTCGACGCAAAATCGCAAAACGAAAGCAATTCTCCCTCAGGAACAAAGCCCCTTGGACTAATAATAAATTGCATTTTGGCTGAAATAAATTGATTTATAAACAAGTTTGGTTTTCGTATTTATTGAAATGAATGAATAGCAGCTTCGAATGTAAAAATAATTATTTTAAGTATTTTTCGTTATTCTTCTTAATTAGCAGGTAAAAATTAAGAAAATATTTATGATAACACATATTACTTGCTCAAAAGCATCAGCTTGCATTTAAAAAATACCTTGTTTGCTTGTTACTCTGAAAATCTGATTAAAATTCTAGAAGAAAATCTTTTTAATACAACATCGAAAAGATAATTTCTCATTGATTTAAAAAAATGCTTGAGAAATGCAACTGAAATGCAGAAATCAAATTAATAGTTGATAGTCTGCCAAAAATATTTAAGGATGGGGGTGGAAGGGAATTGTTGACTATCTGCCAAAGATGTACAAGGTGGGGAGGCTATGTATCAACTATGCATCCCTTCAGAATCATTAGAACTGCATAGGAAAGCAGTGTTGAGTTCCATGGAAGCATAAAGCATTACTTAATTACGAGGTTAGAGGTTACATAGCAGATGACTTTCTTAATCATTTTCCCCTTAATTTATCTCTCTTTGAGAAAAATATTTCGTTTTGTTAGAAATATTTTCTGTTCATCACATTTTCTCTTTTAGAAACAAATTCATGTATATGTGTCACAAGTAAGCGAAACAGTAATACTGAAAAAATAAAATATCTCAAATTTAATTTTCTGACATGTTTATGTATAACTGATATAATATATCAATTGTATATATATATATATATATATATATTTAAACTCCTAAGTTCGGATAAGGACATTCTAAAAGCAACTTTATTCCTAAAAGATTTCTCAAAGTTATTAATATTTTTTATTATTAATAGCAACAGCAGCAAAATAAACTGCAGGTTTTTATTCGAAGCAAAGCCTCTGAAACACTATGGGCCCATTGAGTTGTTCATGGAGAAGCACTCACATCAAAATATTTGAATTCTCTACTCTAAAGATTAATTTATCGAATGATATCTTACGAAACCTTACTAAAATCTCGGCAAAATGAAGGCAAGATTAAAAAAAGAAAACTGTGAGAGGTTATGGGAGTACTAACACATATTTTTGTTATACTACAGAAGCGTGTGATATGGCTTTCTCGTTATACTGTATCATTTTGTACGTTTTACCTGCGACAAGAAATTTCTATTTTTCTTAATGATAAGTAACACACATATCTATTAAACACCTTCTAAATGAAAATTTGCTGGTAAATGTAGCATATTATGCAACATTTTTGAATGGTAAGGGGTTTGCATATCTCCATACGGGGAACCGATATACACTTTCTATAGTTCGAAAAAACTTAGTTTGAAATGAAAAAACTAAAACCATAAAAAACAAAATTGAATGAAGATGGTGGCAAAGAATGTTTTCTCTTGTTGCAATAATTTTTGATCTACAAATGAATAAATCTCTCTCGAGGCGTGAGGTGCATTTAAAAAAATTATCACCTAGTTTCAGAAATATTTTCAAAATGATTGTATCAATAATTTTACATGGAATTTAAAATCCATTTAATTCCACTGCTCCATCTGAATATACTGCTACAGAAGAAATAAATTTGATCGAGTTGTCTTGTGACGATATGTTCAAAATAAAATTTAGCAGCATGGAATTAACTGAATTTCGGTTATCAGTCAAACAGGAATATTCACGCTTAAGTGCTTATAAAATTTTAATCCCACTTACTTCATTTTATTAAAATAACCCAAAACAGGAACTGAAAGTGGTGTGGTGTGGTGTATTTAATTATGGCAAAGCACACGAGGGCTATCTGCCTAAAGGGAGGGATGCCTTTCGTGGAGGACTTTCTAAGGGAAACTGGCTCGTATACACGTTACACATGGGGAAAACCACGAAAACGCCCATGCAGCCAGCCCGTTCGCGAACTGAAAGTGGATGCGTTCGGTTTAATTCCGCTATTTGTGAAACTGTGTTGAGATCAGCAAGTACATCTATTCCATTAATTATTATAATTAGTCATATTTGCTGAATTACACTTTTGGGGAATCTAAAATGCGTTTCTTTTCTTTCTTTTCTTTTTTTTTTTTTTTTTTTTTTAAGTCATGCAAAAGTTTTCGGCTGTTTTGTAAAATGCGTATTCGTTTAATCTTGGAAAATCTTGATTCAATAAAGACGCCGGAGTATAAAAAGTTTGAAAATCACATTGTCTACAGAATACTCTCTCATACTCATGGAGTCGTTATTTTATTTCATGCTATTTCTTCACTCCCAAGAATAACTTACTCATGTTGTTAGGTTTTAGTATACCGATTTGTTTTACATTTCCATTTTACGTATAGGACTCTAGTCTGTAAACTATTGCAGAATTTTAACTTTAGTAGATTTAATTTATTAGATTTCATTTTAAATGCATACGTAAGTACTCATTAATGGATATTCGAAAAAATCGGCGGCAATCTGGATTTCTTTAAATATGGATTCCAGATGTATACTTCCAATAATGATATTTTCTAAAATAAACGTGCACAGTTTTAGAGAAAAAGTTTCAAAGCTGCTAATGGTAGGTTCCCGTAAATATAATGCGTAGTATTTTAATTCTTAATAATGTATTATGAATATGAATATAACAATTTTATAATAAAAATGTGTTATTTTTTATGTCTCGCGGAAAGTAATTAAAGTAAATCACTACATTGAAGCTCAGCATGTATTTATTTAAATATTTTTTATAACTGATCTCAGTAGGTGTCACAGGCGGATAACAGTATACGTCTTTTACATTAATCAACCCAGTTATCTTATTATTTGCTTTTATTATACTTCAGTCTAATTAAGTATTATAATTAGACTGAAGTATACTTTTCCGCCCTAAGGCATTACACGCCAAGAGAAGGATGCCTTCGTGGAAGACTTTCTAAGGGAAACTGGCTTGTATTAACACGTTAAATACATGGGGAAAACCATGCAGCCAGCCCGTTCGAAGAATTCGAACGTCGTACCGAACTACCAGTGTTCAGGGACTTGGCCGCTGCTGGGGCTATTATTTTGCTTTCACTTCTATTTTCGTCAACTCCACCAGACAGCAAATTAGTTATTGAATATTAACGCGGATTTCTTGAGCTGAAGAGGGCTTTTGGTGGCTAGCTACTTTTTCAGATCTTCTTGCTACTAAATTGCATAATCGGCTTTGTGAAATCCTGAGGCATGAATCAAAACTTGGTAGGCGCCTGTTATATTGTAACATTTTAATTTGACCTTAACCTTCTGTTTCTTTTTTTTTTTTTTTTTTTTTTTTTCTATTTTCCTGCAAACTTCAGAGGTTATGTTCTGTTATACCTTTCAAGTTTTGTGTTACTGCCAGGGTGTGATGAGTAAATAAAAGTGTATGTTTTATACCCTCATCTGAGTTTTTAGTTACTGTATTTTAGAAGATACACATATAATTAATACAGATACAAAAATAAAAAACAGATAGATAATTAATGGTCTATCTGTTTTTTTAAGTTCTAGAAGTTAACATTTAAAGTAGCGCAGAACTGTAAAAACGGTCAGAGCTCATTTCTGGGACTAAGCAAAATAAGTTTTAATTCTGATAAGCTATGTCAGTATATTTTATTAAATTGCAAGGCTTATAATATATAATTTCGAAATTTAAGCGTCAGTACGACTAGCGTAAGATTATTTTAAATAAGATATATATTTATTTAAAGGGTTTGTACACTAAAGCTCTCAAATATTGAGATTTTTGCGCAGTTTCATTGTGTAATTAAATACCAATAAAATCGAATATCTTCTTTTTATTTTAGTTACCATCCGAGGACCAGAATTCAATGCCTTTATGCTCCAGGTGCGCAAGATTGGATCCGATGAACGTCGGGGCTTTGATCAACCTGTTCGTGTTGGAGAATTCGTAAGTTGGCCGCCTTCCTTACAACCAGTGATGTGCGACAAAAACCAGCCGACAGCTATCACCAACAAAAATTATTCCCCAAAATCCGGTATCACTATAAAGTGGAAAGCTCCCAACGAAGATGTTGGAGATATCCATGTTGTGTAAGTAAAATTGTCTTCTTAAATTACATTAACAGATCTTTAAAGCAAAGTGAACTTAAATAAGTAAAAGACACGTAGTTTAATTAGATAGTTAAAAACTGATTATTATTAAAAGAAGCACTGTACTATATTAACAGCTTTTTCATTAGAATGTACAATTTTGCTTCAATGCAGACACATTTTCATGTGGAAGGGTCATTCAATAAAAAAAGAAAATTTTTTTAAAGAAAGAATCCATTACGATAATGAAATATAGCACTCATTTATTTTTTAATATAATGCCCCTCAAGTTCTGTGCTTTTAAGCCAGCAGTGGACAAGCTTCTCAGTTCCATGTGAGAAGAATTCTTTGGGGCAGCTGCGTAACCAGTTAGGCACTGCTGCCTGGACTTCTTCATCATCAACGAATCATGAGCCAGTAAGAGCTTCTTTCAATGGTTTACAAATGTGATAATCTGAAGGTACCAGATCCAGGGAATAGGGGGGGCAAGCAGAACTTCAGGTCTTTGATGGTATGACTCCATCAGTATGTCGCCTCGCGTTGACGTGCAGTAACAGGACGCCACTGGAACCAGTTCACGGCGCTTCTACAAAATTGCTGGTTCACGCCTAAGGTTTGCGTACGACGTACTGTTTAATTTTAATCTCTTGGCATGTAATGTTCAAGAACTGCCCCCTTAGGATCCCAAATCAAAGTCAAGATAAACTTATCAGCACTTCTTTCAGTTCGCGCCTTCTTGGGTTTTGGAGATGAAGAACGTCACCACTTCACTGAAGCCCGTTTTCGTTAAAGTTCTTAAAAATGCACCCAACTTTTATCGCCTATTACAATGCAGGAGAAAAATTGTCTTCCCTTCAGCTTCGTACTGTCGCGAAAAGTCCCTGCACACATCCATGATCCTTTCTTTCATTTCTGATGTCAAATGTTTTGGAACCCACCTCGTATATACCTTCTTGAACATCTGTACGTCACCAACAATATGATGGGCTGATTCGACATTAATGTTCATCTTTGATGCAATATCACTCACCGTAATACACCTGTTTTATCTTATCAACTCTAGCAATGTTCTCCGTGACTCATCAACTCTCGCATTGACTTCACTGCATAGACAAAGCATCCTGGGCATGGCGAGTCTTCATCACTTGTTACACCCCGTTTGAATTTATCTGCCCTATTCGTACACTTGTGATCGACTCAAACAACTTTCACCGTACTACACTTCCATCCGACGGTGAATTTCAACTGGTTTCAACCCTTCAGCTAACAAAATTCTAATGACACTCCTCTACGTGCAAGGGTGCCACGATCTTGTTTCACAGAATCCGAGCATCCCGTTCACGATACAGGCATGACAAGCTCGTCTGATAATAGTTCTAGAACACCACCAAAAAAATAACAAAAAAGTACAAACTTTGCCGAAGCTTTGTATTTTTTATACAACTTTTCCTGTTATTTATTGAATTGACTACTTTATTATAATAATAAGCTGCAGTATGTTAATGCACTTTACAAATGTCTCCGTTTATTCGATATGTAAACTTAATAATTCAGCGCAGTTTTACTCCATTAAGAAAAATCTTCCATGAAGAGTCCTCCATGCAGAAGGAAAGATGTTTTCGGAAAAAAACTGTAAACTTAAAAGTGAGTTCATCTAATTCCTTCTTAAAAGTAGTTCTTTCTAATTGCAGAAAACCGTCATATGATTTGCTATATTAATTAATTAAGTAACTAAATTAGGATTTTACAATTGCGATAAGAGTCCTCTATCTCCTGTATCAAACATGAGATATAAAATTTTTGAAATTTTGAAATAGTCCTTGTTAGAAATTATGGTGACGCGATAACAAAAGCCACTGAATATAGGAAATAATCTATATGCCTTTCTAATACCTCGAAGACGTATTAATGTTTTCAATTTTGTAGACGAAAAATATCATAGCAAGTTGGTGTCAATAATCTACCGTGTATGTTATCCTTTTCTTTTATTTTAAGCCGTGATATTAGGAAAATGCATTGTGCATCAGCGTAAAAAAATTATTCATTTAAAAAATCATTTTATCTGTATTCTTCAATAACATTTTACAACAAGTGCTATTTTATACCATGAATCTAACTGATAAAGTTCATTACTTTATACCCTAAAATATATCCATTGCAAAATTTCTAACTCTTCTTCTGTATCTTACTGTCTCAAATAAAATCAAATGATAATGATTACCTTGACCAAAGAATCAGAACTTTCTCACCATTTTTCCTTCATACATTTCAAGGCGAAGATTCAGATTATCTCCCATTTTACTATTTTTTTAAGAACTTCACAAAAGATCCCATTTAAATGCACTAAAGAGCAATTTTAATATGGAATATAAATTTTTCTATAAGAACAGCGTTTCTATACCAATCGCGTTAAAAAAAGTAATCAAGCTCTAAATATGATTCGAAAGTGACAAGGAAAAAAACTCCATCGAGTTAAACTAAATGTACTGGAATTTAATTATTTTGTAAACGACCATTATTTAACGAAGGAGACAATAAAATTACAGGCAAAAAGGCGTCGCGACTAAAAGTTTAAGAAGCCCTTCAATAGAGCATTCCTTTTTTTTTTTTTTCCGGAATACGATAACTATTTCTTATTTTCAAAGTTATTTCAGTCAGCCACATCAAAAAACCCAAAAAAATAATTTACCTCTTTGGCTGTGAAAACTAATAATTGCATGATTTGATTTTTTAGATTTTTTTTTATGTCGGAGATAGTTAATAGCGTTCCTTAGCACACATCAGATCAGTTTGTATACAGAATTTCTTATTTGAACATTGGCGAAATTTTGGAGATTTTTTTACTAACATTTTATCTTGCAAGCCCGCCAGCGACCGAGCGGTAAAGTTGCTGAGCACTGGTAGCTCGGTCCGAGGTTCGAATACCGCGAACGGGCTGGCTGCATAGGTGTTTTCGTGGTTTTTCCCATGTGTAACGTGTATGCGAGCCAGTTTCCCTTAGAAAGTCCTCCATGAAGGCATCCCTCCCATTAGGCAGATAGCCGTAGAGGCTTTGCCGTAATTAAATAGCCTAACCTAACCTAACCTATTTATCTTGCATTCATAAATATCACAATAATATTGATAAATACCATAAAAAATGATAATATATCAAAATCATGAATTATTAAATTTTAGAAATAACATTAAAACAAAACATTTTTATTTTCTCCCGGCATAATTTAAAGTAACATTACTTTCCATTTGGGTGATTAAAGAATATTTTGATTCTCAAAAATAAACAAGATAATAAATACTATTCTTATTATAGCATTTATTATCTTGTTTATTTTTGAATGTTTTTTCTAATCAGTCCAAAAGATTTCTTAGAAAAATTAAAAATGCTTCCCTTATTATTTAAAAATTAATTTCATTTGTATTCTTTTATACCTTTTCACGATAAGAGATTTTCCCCCATGAATAAGAGGCATTTTTAAATATTAAATAAAATATAATATTAAATAAATAAACAAGCAAAATATAAAGGCAAACAAGTTTTTAAACGTCACCAAAATGTAAAAATGAAAATGGTAGACGATAATTTTATTTATGAAATTTTACGAAAATGTTTCTGTGTACGATCACTTTTGTGGCTTTTGTGTCCTGTGCCTTCTGACGTTTGCTATTTTAGAAAAGAAAATAAGTCAGTATTAAAAATTTAAAAGTCTGACTTTATTCAAAATCATATGGAGATGATATGAAAAAAACGTTTAGCTTTATATTTGAATTCAGTTCCGGGTCACAGCGCTTTTTCTGCAAACTCTTAAAGTGTGCGAATACTTACAGGAGCCCACTGCATCTGTTTCAGTGCACAATACGTACCTCAATGCCTAGCCTAAATTCTAAAGCGTTTCCTCTAAAATTTTGTTGCTCAGTGCTTCATTAAATTCCAAAACTTCTGCCACACTGGCTCTGGCGCCGGCCTTGACATATCATTTCATATTTAATCTTAATACACATATTATTAAAGAAATAAAATCAACAGTTTCTTCAATAAATTATAAGTGACAATCTAAGTACAAGTAGTTATTTAGAATAATAGAAATGTTTAATTACATCTGAAAATTCAATTCTAAAATAAAAAGAAAATTCATTAAAAAAGAAGTTGGTTTTTAAAGAGAGAGAAAATTATTTTTCAAAGTTACATTGTGGAAATATTAACAAATTGTGAGATAAAGCAGAGATTATTGGGAACATTGAATTGTTTACTGAAACAAGTGAAGACGTATAAAACTTTTGTTGCTTCTTGTTTCTACAAAACAAAAATGTTTTGTAGCTTTTAATGTATAGTTACACTAATATTACTTTTGAATCAATATCATAAATTACAACTGCTATAAAGTATTCTTAGTGCTTTTTAAATGGGTATTCTTTTAGAAATAAAAAAATGTAACCATTCTAACATTTTTTTATTTAGTTAAAATGTAAAAAAATGTAAATCTATTATAACGAATTGTAACTAACTGCTTATCCTCAAAAGTTATCTCTACATAGTGTTAAGGTGAGTTATCGCCTTTCCTTGTATGCAAGATACAACTTCAAAATGTAAAAATTAACAAAACATTTAATCCTTTCAGCTAATGACACTTGATACAAAAGAACCTATCATCTCTGGTGCTTCCGCGACTTATTGGAGCTTTATATAAAATATTATGTTATTAATATTATGTTATTAATATTATGTTATTAATATTATGTTATTAAATATTTTGTTATTAAATTATAATATGTATTAATTGAGTTACAACACTAGCAAATCTACACGAAACTACGTCACTAACTTTCAACACTTAAGCAACCGTACCAAAAACAGACGTTCACTGCTGTTCTGATCAGCGACTGTCATTTTCTGCAAGCAAGTAACTGCGGTTGCAACAGCCAGTCTTCTGTTATGAGTCATGCTAATTATTATTTTACTTAATTTAACGTAATGCCAGTTGATATAAAATTTAAATATCCTT